AAGATTTTCGATGAGGCGTTTCATCTGTAGAATCCCGCCAGGCGGATGAAGTGCAGGGCCCTCTGCTTAGAAGGGACCCACCCCAAGCTACTGGTGGTACCTCTGTCTCTTCCAGGGGAGCCAGGAGAAGAGATCAGTGGAATACGACGACCTCCCAATCATCTCCAGAGAGTAGGCAGCGACCTCTAAAAACCTCCCAATGAAACTGCTTAGGAATATTTACGACAAGAAAGAAGCCCTTAGAGCAAAACTACTCTGCGGAATTATCTAAAATGAATATCTGACAAATTCCTTTTGACTTTCAAATGTTGTGTACAGATTTGAAACTCAATACTTCTGGGTGGAAAAAAATATTTACGAAAAAAGTAGAAGGTCTTTTTTTGGATCACTCTATACTTTGACACCAATGTGTAGTTACGAGCAGCCAATGAAAGCCTTTGTCTCAGTGGCAACAATGTCTTTCCAGCTGGTTTTTTTTTCGTTTGTCCTCTTTATTTGTAGAATCTTCCACAGTATCCATCATTTTCTCATTTTTTTGTATAGAGAAAGGAATCTGTTGGTGAAAGGACATGATGAGCAAATGGAGTAGGCCTAGGCCTACGATTTTAGGCAGTTTCATGTTTTTACTCGGGGATAGTAGATCTACCACAGAGTAAAGCAACGGGCCCTATCAAGCAGTACTTTAAAGTAAATAAGAGTTCAACTAACAAACAAGAGTCGTTTGTATTACACCCAGTCGCCACAAATTGGTTGTGTCAATATTTTCTTATATAAAACACGTACAGGTGTGTTACACCCAGGTTACCGGTCAAAGGGGCATAAATAGATTGCCGGGGAAAGGGCTACACAGTATACATCATGTACATGTTCAATGTAAATTGTGAGTGAATTTGGTAGATCTACAGCCTCCACTCTGAACACTTTACGTGGTGAGCGGCATCGAACCCTATGCCCAGAGCCAGGCCGGCTTGAATCGAATTCACGTCTTCTTTGTGCAAGGGGAAAGAACCAGGACCTGTTTTAGTACACATATCAGGAGCAGCGTCTAAATCAGATCTTAAAAAATGCTTAAGGGTACGGT